GGGGACGGCTAGCGCAGATAGCCCTCGTGTAGCTTTGCGCGAAATTCAAAACAAACAATTATTTCTTTTTCTCTCTCTCTCTCTGTTCTATACAAAGCTTTCTATTGCATCAGCCAAAAATTAATGAATAATCGCTAAATGATCAATGATCCATAGATATCAAATTAAATATTGTTTTAATTATAGTTCAAATAACTTTGTTTAACAATGATTATTATTATTTATATAGTTCTTCTGGATCATTACATAGAATGTATGCACTACATTTGCTTATGCGGACTTTGCCTTTTATGTATTATTTATTCAGACGTGAAAAGGAGACTAGTGTTATGTTCCATTTTCTAAAGGAGGTACGATTAGGACTACATAACAGTCTTCATTTTAAGCGTAAAAGTTGTCATCAGACCAAAAAAGTATAAATAAGTTCAGTAGTGTCGAAGAATCCTTTATGGCCATCCAGAAAAATCACAATGGAGTCTTATAATATATATAAAGCGAATGTCGACATCAATGACTTTGCCGTTTTGGGGTACTGTCAATATAGGAGGAAACCATACTCGGCTTGAAGAGATGCTTTCTTCAGTCTTTGAACACATTTCTCAAAAAAAGAAAGCAACTTGGAAGAGGTAATTTGATTCGTTTTAAGCAAAACTGAAGCCTAACATAAGACGTTTTACAAATATTTACGGTATACTTACATTTTTTCTAGAGTAACGTTTTAACCATATACAACCATATTATGTCTGGCGTCAGTCTTCGTAAAATAATTTAGTAACGAAATTGACTCAAATAATATTTAGTTCTGAATTTGTTGTCGTTGTTGCATAATTCATTTTGAGCTATTGAAAATTAAAGTAATAAATCTACATCATAACAGTAATAACGAAAATTCAAGCTATATTAATGAAAAAAAAACCTTCATTATATAACGTTGACACTAACTTATGATGTATTATTTTTATGTTTTATTTGGGAGTAGGAAGAGTTACTTTTTAATTACAGAAATGCTCCAGACATGAAAAAAAAGCATTTTGTTATTAAAGCTGGCAAAGTTGGCAGTGAAAGTTGTTCGTTGATTATTGTTAGCATAATAATGAGTGGTCATAAGGAAATCTGGTTGTGCTGTAATTATTGTAGAAAAAACATAAAAGCCGTTATTTCCGGGAGTATGTACTAAATTTTCTAGTGCTTGCACACTACATATAATAACAGGAAGAAAACGTTGTGTTTTTAATTGCTGTAAAAGCATAAGTTTATGTAAATCAATGTATAAACTTTTAGCAACAGATGATCTCGTCTATTTTGCTTCTTGGTCTTGTCCTCACATAAAAAACAAAACAATATCCCGATATCCTTTGAAGGGATGGTTATGATTACTAAAAATTCGTATATATATTCTTTCCTTTCTATATATTCAAATGTAAACATACAATTATCAAATTATACAATTCGGGACCTAAGGATGATGTGGCCACCTCACAGCTTATAACGTTGTTTGATTCTGTTTTCACTCACTAGAAGCAGCAAACCAGGAAAAAAGATGTATTAAGATCACCATTATGCAGTGTTGACTGTCAATTTCTTGGAGCTCGGAGATTATTTGTGCCCTATAGACCAAAATGCAAGTTGCGTCGCCACGTACATAAAATAATTAATCTTTTACTTGCGTATAATTTTAGAAGTCAAGGATATGTGGACTTGAAATGAAGCTATTTTTTGATAATTAATATAATTTGTAGATAGAGTATCCTTAAAAGTAATTATACGCATTATTTTCTTTGTCGTCCTTAGTTGTCAGCTTTTACCGTTTTTAAGATCTTGAATTTTCTCGATAATTGAGAGATTCATTTACACTGTTATTTTATATTTACATCCAATTTACTTTAACTTTTTACAAGTGTTAGAACAGATGTATAATTAATGTATTGGAAGTTTAATAGCCTAATTCCCAGTGTTTAGAAGTCCCCATGTGATACAGGTTGAAAACAAAAAAACAATTGTTGATTCTCGTGATAAGAATTTAGAACACTATTTTTTTATCTGTTTAATCAAAAGATACACAGAAGTACTATAGCATATACTATATTACCAGTAGTGTTGGGACGGCACACCTTGTTCCACCAATGGAACACAATTTTAACAACGAAGTGGACTCGTCTATGGCATTCAGTACCGTCTGGAATCTCGTACCTGCTACCAGTCGCCGCTCTTCTTGCAAAGCACCTCAAAGTGTAGTAAAATTATAGTATATGCATTTGTTATTCTGAAAGTGGCATTCCTAGTTCTGTTCATCTGATCCATGTTGAGCTTCGAGCTGGCCAAGGCAGATTTGGATTATGTTTGTTTAAAAACACTGTTAAACACAGTTTATGGCACGGTATGTTATCAAGCTCAAACGGATGTGGTCTTTTTCTATAGAGAACAACAACAAAAAACAGTAAACGGACCAAACTGACAGAAGTCTTAATATTGGAGAAACTAGTTTCGACACATTCGTGTGTTCTCTTCAGTCTTACGTGAGACTGAAAAGAACACACGAATGTGTCGAAGCTAGTTTCTCCAATATCAAAACTTCTGTCAGTTTGGTCCGTTTACTGTGTTATTTCACTTTGTTTTCTTACTGCTACACACGACATTGTGTTATCATATGATGTTTCGATAGAGTTCCATTAACTGACATAATAAAGTCATTCCCCAGATATAACTTTCCGACAAGAACGCCATGACTCTCTTAACTAATACATGTGGATAAAGTCCAGAGTAGAAACAATGGGTAACAGAATTTATCCTTCCATATAATGATAGTCCATTGTTATTCATACCAGTTTCGATGCCGAAGCCACTATGAAGATCACTGTGTTGTGTTTATTGCTGTGCTTAGCAGCTCATGGACTGTAATACACCCACGAGGTCCAGAAGCATGACGTCTCACTACAGACCTGGGCGATTTCGTTTCACAGAATATTTCCTATTTCTTATAACTCGAATAGTAATTTATTCGGAGCGGCCTGTCTGATATATACAATAGCATTTTCGTTGGTTTCCTATTTTTTTTCAGTATATTAACCACAGTAGACCTGAGAGACACCCAACAAAAATATCTTGAGCATTTGCACTTTCCACAACAATTTTAAATGGAACTGGATGACGTGGCAGATTCTCACCTTTGTAAACCCTACACTGCAATGCACCATAGAATTCAAATGCAGATTCAGTGGGGACGGGTTCATTCCTTGTTAGTGGCATGCTATCCAAGTTGTTTTGATAAAATTGTGAAGATTACAGTACAACGAATCGCAAAAGGGTAAACCTAGCGACATGTTAAAAACCTGTAAATTAGCAAAAGGTTTATTAGTTTAGCAGGAATATTTGAATATACCTAACAGCATAAAATAAGCTGCATTATGTGGCTTTGCTTTTTCGGAAAGCGATACTTTTTACTTGTGTTATTACAATTGAAAATATTTGTTGATATATAGTTTAAAGATTCTATTTTGTTAAAATCTTATTCACATAACTTTTAATATTGGTACCTGAATCCCATGGGAGCGTTACTATGGAGGTAGTTTCATATGGTTTTTCTAGTTAGTAATTTACATTAGTGTACGAAGGTTTTTCTCTCTTTCTGGTTACTACTTCTGTTGTTTAATTTTAGGTTTTAGATAACATATCTTATTTTAAAACTGGGTTAATACTTCCAAAAAACATGTCTTAAGGACGTAGTCCAGTAATTTACGTGATTTTTATGATCTAATTATTTTCATTCCTCCACTTTATTTTTCTGTATCGCTATTCTTCAGCCTTTTACTCGTGATTAAATTTACCTCAATTTTTCTTCCTTCACTTTTTTCACATTCTTGCTTTCTTATTCTGCATGTATTCTAGCTGTTCTTTAAAGTTCAAAGTATTATTAAATATTCGTGGACCAGTATTTACCCTAAAATTATCGAGGAGTCCTTTTAGGCCTTTTTAAAACACATTTTTCTGAACTATTTATACACCACGTTGCTTGTGGGGCCATAAGATACGAATTATACAAAAATGTTAAGAAAATGTTCTTTATATCTGGAAGCCGGTACCAAGTTCCATTATTCTATGTACTTCTTGTTTAATTCGAATAGTACAATGGGTACAATGTAAGGCTGGTTCTGGCAAAGATGAGAGCCTGTACTTCTTCGAAAAGAACTTCTCCAATGTTCTCGCCTTTTAACTATGTTTATAGCAAACTATTCGACTTATATATAGATCAGTTTTGAGAAAGAATGATTCTACATCCACCTGACTGAAAATTAAAATTTAAGAGATAATGCAAATATAAAACTATATTTCGTAGTATCTTTTATTAATAGCTTCATGATAAAGAGAAATAATGTAACACAAGTTCCTTTTAAAACGTAGACATTTATGGAAAAACAACCTTTCCACCTTTCTCTACCCAGTCGAGAAAACTACCACAGTAGCAACGAATCCTAGAAGAAAGAGATAATGTAAATAAGTTTAGAAATATAAAAAGGTTAGCAATAAATTTATTTAGAAATAATTAAAGTTTTTAAACATCAATTTAAACTTTGAGAATAAATTGTTTTCTAATGTAAATGTTGTTTTCCACATACTGTGGTATTAACAGTAATTTCAAACGTTTGTACAGTAGAGAAATGAGCTATTAGTGGCGACAAATTGGCAATGAGTAATAGTAAAATGTCAGTGTGATATAACCCGATTAAGTTTTCCATCAGTCTGCCTATTTTTACCCATGAATAAAACGTCTATGACATCGTCATCTAGTGTAATAACCTGTGATGTGTTCTTTAACTGTTATGATAACAATAATAAACCATCATTTCATACTTGTTGTAGCCCAGTTTTTCCAGTATCTGTATGGCGTCTTTAGCCCTTCGACCTGACCTACAAGTTATTATAATATTCTCGTCATTTTTAGAAGGTTGAGAAGACCCATATTTTTTCTCAAACTCGTTGGGTAGCAAACGAAAGGCATCTTCTACTTCAGCAACTATTAAAAACAGTAAAAATATACAGAAACAAAGGAGACACAAGGCTTCCCGAACAATAACTTTGATGTATGAAAATAGAGAGTAATTTAAACACCTTGATAGTTAAGTTATACATTACCATATAGTTCGTTTTATAAAATTATAGATTTCCCATTGTTTAATGCTTGTAATAGTTGAAAACAAGTGAAAAGTACAATCTATATTACTGTTACGTCTTACGATTCGGTGACGATAGTTCTCGTTTAAACTAGATGAAAATTTATTAAATGAAATGAAATTACAAAATATGAAATACATACGTCTCTTTCTGTATTGTCATTTTAAAGTTAGGTGTAATTCAAAACAAATATTAAATTGGAATCAATACATATCACACTGGAATACAGATTTTTACAAAAAGGTTGAGTACGTTATATCAAAATAATTTTGAACAAACAAATCAGCAAGTTACGTGAAAAGCACAGCTGATATAAAGTCGCGATGGAATATAATGTATCAGAATTACATTTTGACGTTTCGTAGATAGTGTGATGCTACGAAATTTGACCGTTTTTGGAAAGGGTACGTAACACTCTTTCTTGATGCAAAATATTCTCACACTCAGACAATAAAGAAATACTCAGGTCGGGGATTTATAGATTCCATGACAAGGGGATATCTCTCGTACATGAATAAAATCAAAAACAAGAAATATGTACCAACGTGGGGTACCAGGACCATTTTGAAAGAGATCTCCAATAAGTTATACCTTAGCTACGGTAAGCAAAGTGGAGCGTCATTTAACAGGAGAGAGAATCCAAGAACACAAATAGTAGTGGGAAAAACGGTTCACGTGCCCCAAACAGCAGTGCGCAGCATTATCAAGAAGTATTTTCGTCTGGATAATCGATACATTTCAATTATACACAAATTACTTCCAAAGCATATCCTTTCAACAGTCACATACCTCAAGCAGCTGGAGAATGAAACGGGTATTTGGGCTTTCCTACGAGTGGGGTGAAGAGAAATAAGTTTCTGAACATCCCTTGTTTGATTTGACCTTGAATTCATATTGAATTCAGAGTCAGATGATTTAAATCAAAATCCCTATCAAGTTAAATCAAATCATGCGTACCTATGAATTTCTGTGTCTACAGGGCTGTTGAAACGCGATTTGAGAAACCATCGTTCTTGTGCACTAGATGACATATGGAAAGCAGACGGGGAGTATTAGTATGCTTTTAGCACGACAGTTGTAAGACAGGGCCTTTTGCAATGGAAAGTACGCTGCAGGGTTTTTGTCAAGATGCATGGACATCAGAACGTTGCGACATGGACTGTAACGAAGTGGTGAAACTCTATAACTGTTTTAATATAATGTACTCAATCTATGTTTTTAGTGTAAAAAGGGCCAATCTATAATGAAGGAAATCTTTTATTATCAAAATTTCAACACTACGACTTTTTCAAAACATTTATTCTTCAAATATAATAGAATAAGTTGGTACAGTAGGAAATTATTAAAGAAATACTCTAACTCAAAGCATTTATCCAGTGATAATTAGTGTTTTTGTTGTAAATACAACAATATTTATGTAATGTAGAACTTACGTGGTATATTAAGGGAGCCAGGTATTAGGCCTACGTCTTTTAGTTCCTGAAATGTCCGTACGTCGATTAAAGTCATCTTATTGGCTTTCACCAGGTTACAGAGCTCATCATACTTAATTTCTGAAACATGAGAAAATACGTACGTGTAAGTTTGAATCTAAATGACTGCTTTCCATTTTTTAGTTTGTTGGAATTGAATTTGTTTCGCTGCGGTAACATTTTGAGACTATACAAAAAATTTACTTTTACTCATATAGGGTTCCCCAAAAGTTTGACCTCAGGGATTACGCTGCAATCAACCCATAAGAAAAATTATCATTTTTACATGGAGCTAGAAGTTTGGCAACGCCCTAAGATTAATCTCTTTAACTGTATTTAACTACAAATCTGAAAACTTATAATGCATTAAAGAGCTCAACATTCGCAAGCGAATGCGACATGTATTCGCCACGCAATCCCAAATTGGCCAATTTTGACATCGCAGAAATCGAAAACTGTCTATATAACTGCTTTGGACCTACAAGAAAGTATCTCTGTACCAAATCCCGTGTAAATGTGTTGGCATACACACGAATAAGTCACGTAAACCCCAAGTTGTACTATCCTCGCTCAGTAGTATTTTACTAATTCTCTAAGTTGAAAGATGAAAACCTCGTTAAGCCTCGTTTTCCTAAGAGCATCAACCTCCTGTCACTTGCATATGTTGAGTAAACATGTGCGTACTTTGACCACTAGAAGTTCAAACTCACAGATATCATCAGATTCATGTTAGACGATCCATCACTTTCTGGAAAATGTAAACAAATGTACGTGTTGCTGATAAGAGTTTATCTTCAATATTGATGTATCTTTTGATAAGTAATAGCAGAGTTTACTTTTTTGTGTGGTACATATCATAATGATATTATCTCGCGAAAAATCACCATAAGCTTCAAAGAACTGATAAATATAGACAGACAATAGTTTATATTGCATACGTGCTTTTACAATTTATAACTTATGTGTTACAAGTTTATCATATATCGACACAAAAACAGGAGTCAACCGTCTGATGTTTACAAGTTTCAATAAAGTTCGTGATGTTACACACACACGCACTCTGACAACTAAGGAATCATTATATTGAAAACATGTGTTCGGAAAAATAATATTTCATATACAAATACAGGGTTCATGACACATGAAGTAAGTGAAATTGTGTCACGGTGTACCCCTTTCTATTAATTTTTTCAAATATGAGTGTATTTTAGTACATTAAATGTAATGTTTATTTTAAAACATCAAATGTAAGTGTATTTATACAGCAAAAAAAATCTATTATATTAAACCTGTGTCAGTATATGTAGCACTAATATAATTATACATTCCATGTCTTTAAATATGTAACTATTTCATCGAAGCTTTTAAGAGAAAATTGATATTTTTATTTAAGAATGATATACTGACATTTCATGATTAACTTTCCTAACAAACGTTTTATTCCAGGAAAACTTCGAAATACCAGGCTTAAAATACGCAGATAACGTCGTTAATTACATTTATGGTTTACTTGCTTGTTTTTAACTTGTTTAGAATTTTAAATTAGCAACAAGAGATGTCACATGCACATAATTGCATGGCTGAAAGACGTACTTACGTGACATGCTAATAAATTGTGATAAAAAAACGAAGTAGTTACTCCCAGTGAACAATCTATTGGTAACAAACCTTTTTTTTATTTTTATTTTTGGCGAGGTCAGCTCCGGCAGTAGAATTGCGCGCACGTGCGTACTGTATTGAGATTTATAAATATATAAAGAAAAATGTTTAAATTTCATTGAAGTGAAGTGTAAAGATAGAGCTAAGGTATACATAGGTATAAGTGTTTGGTAAAATAACAGAAAGCAACATTTAGTAACTATATTTACTCAATAATTGGCACTAATTGAAGCAACGAAATCAACTCCCTTAACGTAAGTCAGAATCTTACTGAGTGTAATATCGTCCATGATAATAAAATCTGTGTACAATATAACAAATACTTGAGAAGTTGAGCTAATCCTAGTTAATAACTTATAAATGACCGCATGATTCATGTAATGAAAATGTATCCTATTAAATAAAATGTTTGTAACACATATTTTTCATGGATACTTCTACTTAGTGCACCGTAATAAACCAGAGTAATTTGTTTAGAAATAGAAAATTATCTTGTTTAGCTGTTTATAGTGAGTTTGTATGAACAACTTTTCAGTCTAGTTAGAACTTTTCACTAATCATGGGGTCAGCAGCGATGACCTGCAGTTGTTTATAAAGTTCACTCCTGTTTGCCATCAGTTTCTGCTTTTCACTAATCATGGGGTCAGCAGCGATGACCTGCAGTTGTTTATAAAGTTCACTCCTGTTTGCCATCAGTTTCTGCTTTTCACTAATCATGGGGTCAGCAGCGATGACCTGCAGTTGTTTATAAAGTTCACTCCTGTTTGCCATCAGTTTCTGCTTTTCACTAATCATGGGGTCAGCAGCGATGACCTGCAGTTGTTTATATAGTTCACTCCTGTTTGCCATCAGTTTCTGCTTTCTTTCTTCGTACCGCTTCCTGGTAAGAAAATACTACATTGATAGCAGAGGCAGAAATGTACTGAGGTTTTTCTCATTTTGTAATAACGATGTAGTAGGTTCCGGTCTATCCTCGTAACTTCGTCTTTCGTCGATCATACACAGTTTGATGGCTACGATTATGTTTTTTTTTTTGCTCGATGGTGCATTTTCCACTGTCACAAGTTTCTGCGACATACATCGAGTTCAATCTTAAGCCATAAACTTTCCACAGATCCTTCGCCAATGATTGTGGACATTGACGCTTAAGCAGATCAAAAGCACAAAAGTAAATTGTTGCTGTAACAGGGGAGTTGACAGTTACGTGGTCGAATGGGATTACTAAGATTCCAGTTTCTTCGGCCATCTTTCTCGTGATTTCAAGGTATGGTTGGACGTTTGGCTTGGGAACCTCCATTAGCTTTGAACTCTTGTACAATTATCTTGTTGATGGTACCAGGAAACATGCTCAGCCTTATCACAATGGCTTTTGGGCCTGATGAGCTCTGGTAAAAGACGAAAAGCCTCGTCGGCACTGTAGTGTTATGGTTTACATGTTTTAATGTATTCTCCTTTGCTTTACTCATGGATTATTATAAATAACCACATATTCTACTTTATAAACGAGGAAGCTGCTCTGAGTTGAGCTGGGGTGTGGTTTTTGGAGCCGTTGCTGTTCTAAGTGTTTTACTTTGTGATATTTTCCACTTTTATTTAGATTTATTCAAAGTGTTTTGTGTATTCGATCTATAGATTTTAACAATCTCGTTATACGGCTATTCTTCCTTGTATAAAGCTGTAACATATCCAAAATTCTTATTCTACCGCGAATATCTTGCCATACCGAATAATCGGGAATCATCTATGAACAAAATACACTGGTGCTAAGCATAATATCCAAAGATATAACGGCTTCACTTGCAGTTACCACCACTACATGAACATATATAGACCTTACAAATCAAGTATGATTAACCTTTTCTACGTGTTCTCGAAAGAATATTTTCACAGACAGTACCATACCGTCCTTATTCTTTTTGACTATTTATAGAAAAATGGTGTAAACCAGATTTAGTGTCTATCTTTCTGAATTAAAAATTAATAACGCAAAACATTACTTTGCCTGTTTTAAATTACCAATTGAAGCGAGTAAAAACATTAAATATTTTGGACAATTAAGTAAAAAAGTAAATGCAAAATTTTTTCCCTCCACAAAATTTCTATTGTTGTTTGAAGTATCAGGAATAAGATCTAAGAGATAAATTTGTATATTTCGATCAGTAGCTTTAGATACAGTATTGGAACTAATATTGTAAACACACAAGTGATTTACAAACAGTAAGTAATGACAACTAGATGATGACTTTATCAATGGTATAATATCATTAGAGTTTTCTGAATGACAAACCAACCACGGTAACCCATCTTGTGCAGTTCAATTCCAGTTTATTATTATTATTTTTTTTACAGAGATTGGTTAGTGTAGGCTAATATTAAGTTCTGCGCACACTTTTGACGTTGCACGCTTTTGTTTTCGCCTCACTACTCATGCTAAATACTCGTCTGTCACGATCCGTCAAACATGTTTTTAACCACTATTATGTTTGTCTGACATGGTTTTAGTTTTCTATATCCTTGCTGACATCAGTTTTGACGCGTTCACTCGAGAGACATTCATTATTTTAGGTGTTGTATCACTGAAGATCCAGCTAGACGCTCATATACATTTATACATCTTTGGAAATCTGACATTTTAATTTTTCCCCTTTTTTTTTTTGGTTTTCTTTCGGAGAAATGTTCAACACCCAACAGTAACAGCATACTATTAATTTACAAAAAAACGCTAAAAAATAATTTAATTCAGAGTTAAATTACCATATAACTATATTCTCCCCTCTAAGATGTCAAATCTTGGAGTTAACAAGGCCAGATCTTTCCATATTTTTTTCCCACCCTGCTTATAATTTTTGGATTGGATAATCTTGTAGTTTTAAGATATTCTATCCGTTAAAGATAAATATCTGAAGCAAAAGATCCTCTTTACTTTAAATACTCGGAGGTCGACATCACCATCCGCCAACTCTTGGGCTGCTATTTACTAAGGAATAGTTGGATTGACCGTCACTATATACTGCCCTCACGGCTGAAAGGGCGAGCATGATCGGCGACTGGTTTCGATTCCGAGACCAACAGATTTTGAGTTGCGCACCCTAATCTTCAGGCCACTCTAGATTCAATATATAATGATGTGGGTGGTATGTCCAACTTTTCGGGGGGGGGGGGAGTAGGCTAAGGCTATTATGACATGGCAACGGGCATTTGGAAAGTCAGTTCGCCCACCGGTGGCTCAGCGGTAAGCTTGAGACTTTATAGCGTTATCAGTTGAATGTTGGTTCTTGCAATGGGGTCGTCATAGATAGCCCATAATGCAGCTTTGCACTTAACAAGAACTCAAACTTAAATCCCTTACACTACTACGAAAGACACTAATAAACATGAAACATTACTGTGCAGCAGAATCATGGATGGTACCTAAAAACTTT